CATGGACCAGCCAAGGACATCCAAGGACCAGCCAAGGAAAGTGGGTTACCAACCAAGGACTAGCCAAGAACCAACCAAGGACCAGCCATGGACCAACCAAGGATCAATCAAGGAACAGCCAATGACCAACCAAGGACCAGCAAAGGATCAACCAAGGACCAATCAAGAAGCAGCCAGGGGCCAACCAAGGATCAACCAAGGACCAACCATGCAGCAGCCATGGACCAGCCAAGGACATCCAAGGACCAGCCAAGGAAAGTGGGTTACCAACCAAGGACTAGCCAAGAACCAACCAAGGACCAGCCATGGACCAACCAAGGATCAATCAAGGAACAGCCAATGACCAACCAAGGACCAGCAAAGGATCAACCAAGGACCAATCAAGGAGCAGCCAAGGGCCGACCAAGGACCAACCAAGGACCAGCCAAAGACCGATAAAGGAACAGCCATGGACCAACCAAGGACCAGCGATGGACTAGACAAGGAACATCTAAGGTAAGTGGGGACCAACCAAGGGCCAATCAATGAGCATTCAAGGGTCAGCCAAGGACCAGCCAAGGACCAACCAAGCACCAGTAATAGACTAGACAAGGAGAGTCCAAGGATCATCCAAGGGCCAACCATGGACCAGCCAAGGGCCAGCCATGGACCAGCCAAGGGCCAGCCATGGACCAGCCATGGACTAGCCAAGGACTAGCCAAGGACCAGCCAAAAACCAAACGAGGACCAGCCAAGGAAAGTGGGGACAAACCAAGGACCACTCAAAGAGCAGCCCTGGACCAACCAAGGACAAGCCAAGACCAGCCATGGACCAGCCATGGACCAAACAAGGATCAATCAAGGAACAGCCAAGGATCAACCAAGGACCAGCGAAGGATCAACCAAGGACCAATCAAGGAGCAGTCAAGGGCTAACCAAGGACCAAAAAAAGGACCAGCCAAAGATCAATCAAAGAGCAGCCATGGACCAATCAAGGACCAGCGATGAACTAACCAAGGAGAGGCCAAGGACCAACCATTGACCTGCCAAGGAGCAGCCACAGACCAGCAATGGAAAGTGGGGACCAACCAAGGACAAATCAAGAACCAACCAAGGACCAACCAATGATCAATCAAGGAGCAGCCAAATACCAATCAAGGAAAAGCCTAGAACCAGCTGTGGACTAGCCAAGGAGTAGCCAATGACCAGCCATGCACCAGCCAAGGACCAACCAAGGACCAGCTAAGGACCAACCAAAGACCAACCAAGGATCAGCCACGGGCCAACCAAGGATCAGCCAAGGACCAGCTAAGGACCAACCAAAGACCAACCAAGGATCAGCCATTGACCAGCCAAGGACGAATCAAGGAGCAGCCAAGGGCCAACCAAGGATCAACCAAGGATCAATTAAGGATCAGCCATGGACCAATGAACAGCCAAAGACCAATCAAGAAGCAGCCATGGACCAACCAATGATCAATCAAGGAGCAGCCAAGTGCTTGCTAAGGACCAACGAAGGAGCAGCAAAGTACCAACCAAGGACCAGCCAAATACCAATCAAGGAAAAGTCTAGAACCAGCTGTGGACTAGCCAAGGAGCAGCCAAGGACCAGCCGTGCACAAGCCAAAAACCAGCCATGGACCAACCAAGGACCAGCCAAATGCCAATCAAGGAAAAACCTAGAACCAGCCATGGACTAGCCAAGGAGCAGCCAAGGGCCAACCAAGGACCAGCCAAGGAAAGTGGGGACCCACCAAGGACTAGCCAAGAATCAGCCAAGGACCAACAAAGGACCAGCCAAGGACCCGCCATGGACCAACCATGGACCAACCAAGGACCAGCGATGGACTAGACAAGGAACATCCAAGGTAAGTGGGGACCAACCAAGGGCCAATCAATGAGCAGCCAAGGGTCAACCAAGGACCAATTAACAAGCAGCCAAGGACCAACCAAGGACCAGTCGAGGAGCAGCCAAGCCCGACCAAGGACTAGCCAAGAACAAGCCAAGGACCAACAAAGGACCAGACATGGACCAACCAAGGATCAATCAAGGAGCAGCCAAGTGCTTGCTAAGGATCAAGAAAGGACCAGCCAAGGACCAGTCATGGACCAACCAAGGACCAGCTAAGGACCAACCAAGGATCAGCCAACGACCAGCCATTGACCAACCAAGGACCAATCAAGGAGCAGCCAAGGGCCAACCAAGGATCAACCAAGGACCAATTAAGGAGCAGCCATGGACCAACCAAAGACCAGCGATGGACTAGACAAGGAACATCCAAGGTAAGTGGGGACTAACCAAGGACCGATTAATGAGCAGCCAGGGGTCAACCAAGGACCAACCAAGGACCGTTTAACGAGCAGCCAAGGACTGGCTAAGGACCAACAAAGGACCAACCAAGGACCAGCCCAGGACCGGCCGTGGACAAGGCAAGGACCAATCAAGGAGCACCGAAGGACCAATCAAAGAAAAACCATGGACCACCCAATTACCATCCAAGGAAAATCAAGAACTGGTTTACGTAAGGTTTTCTTGGAGACGCCGCAGGCAGCTCGGTAAAACAACAGACCGCTATAATTTAATGGATCTAATGGATGATCACTTTTATATGATTGACCTACAGCTGTTTAAGGGAAGTTAAAGCCATGCAGCGCTGCAGCAGTGAGGCGTTCAGAAATCAGTCATCACCAACTCAGGAGAAAAAGACTTGTCAGACACCGACCTGGAAACAGCGATCCTATCATCAATAAACAAGGTAACTTTAAGTGTTTATATTTTTAAAACCTTTAACTATTGAATACATAATCACAGTTAAAGTTTGTTTACTTTCAGAAGTCCATAAGCACATTAACCTACCATAGTGTTGTATCCACTCACAGTCTGGCTTAAAGCTTTGGAATATTGAATAATTTATACTTGGGTCACCAAATGCCCAGTTTGCCCAGTGTTCCATTTTAACTGCTGAACATCTTAACTGGTGATTGTCTTGTAAATGCTCCTCCTGATTTAGTCTCTAAAGCAGTATACCTTTGATTTGAATGAATTATCTACAGCAGGGGTCTTCAATGTTTTCCAGGCCAAGGACCCCCAAAGTAAAGGCGAGATGGAGCAGGGACACCCTAATTATTTATTTTTTATTAAATTGTGTTCTATCAAACTGGTCGTATAGTCGCTGTATTACAGATGGAGTCATGTAACGAAAGTTATTCCTCCCTGGGATTATTAAAGTTTTTCTGATTCTGATTCCTGGTTGATGGGACAGGTGTTGTAAATTAAACGGTGCCCAGCTTGAAAGAGCTCGTGTGTGTCACTGAATGTGTGCATAGATGACTGAAAGACATCTTCTGCCTTCATTTATCTGTTTTCTACAGTGTGTTTAATTATTAGCTTTTGTGTATTTAAAGACATTTAGTGGAAAAATTGCAGGGGGGAATATAAAAAAAAAAAAGTCTAATCAACCAAACCTTTCGCGACCCCCATGCAGTACCTCCGTGGACCCCCTAGGGGTCGCGGACCCCCTGTTGAAGACCTTTGATCTACAGCAGGGATGTCAAACTGGTTCCAGAAAGGGCCGTGTGGCTGCAGGTTTGCTTTCCAACCAAGCAACAGCACACCAGACTCCAGTCACCTCATCAAGTTAGTCTAGTCTTAACATGATGACTTGATGAGATGAATGAAGTCTGGTGTGCTGTTGCTTGGTTGGAAAGCAAACCTGCAGCCACACGGCCCTTTCTGGAACCAGTTTGACACCCCTGATCTACAGGAAATGGTTCTCTATGTCCTGCCTCATTCAGGGAAACAATACTGTAGATTGATTTCCTCATAGAGATAATATTTATCATTGTTTATTTTTAGATGTTTGATTCTTACTTTAGTTTTGTACCATCCAGATTTCTTAGAAATGAGTTTATGCATAATACATAGGTGACCTGGGAATTATTTTGTTGAGATTTTTTTATCTATACCAAAAAGGCATACTTTAATATACAAATGATTCTGCATCTTTGATTAGCCCATCACCTGAAGGCAGGGCCATGGTTCCCCTTTCTTCTTCTTCTTTTAATGTGGTAACACAAAACACTGCCTAATATTTGTCATGGTTATAGATTATGATGTGTGAAATTTACATTATATTTATATTTTCACATAAATTATGTGTTTCTGTTGTAAAATTTTTTATTAGTTTTAAGTCATAGTTACATGACTTGTTGAGTAAATTCCTTTTTTATCTTGACAGGTTGGGTCGAAGTTATGGAAGAAAAGTCATGACAGAATTCCTGTCATCAGTGGGTGTTTGAGCAGGTGAGACTCGAGTGGGAAAGATTCTCAGAGGTGCACCAGCCATATAATGAACTGCATCACCAGGTTAGTTATATTAATCCTATTCATAAACATTTTTTCATGTGATTTCAACATTATTTAAATTTAGATCAAAATATTCATATTAGAATGGACCTGCTTGGACAGGTATGAAGCCACCAGATTGCACAGGTCATCTGGATCAGGTCTTTTATCAGTTTCAAGTCAGAACCACACCTGGAGATGCCCCATTCAGCTTCTATGCTCCATATGTCTGGAAAGATTCAGATCAGCTGAAACGCTGTTTATTTCCATCCATATTGAAGACCCACCTGCTCTCAGCTGCAAGGAAATATTTTTTATTTAGGAGTTAAAAACTGCGCAGCCACAAAGGCTAGTTTTAGTAAGATTTCTTTTTTGTTTTTAATTTTAAACAATATTTTTATTGTTTTACTTTTGAATGTTTTATTTTCTTCTGCATCACACTAATCCTTTGCTTGGTGTAAAGCACTTGAAATTGTGGACATTATAAATACTATACAAATAAAGCTGCCTTGCTAACTTTCCTAAAATGTTGTCTTGTGTTTAAACAGAACCTGTGAGTGGAAAGAACATGCCAGAGGTCAATAATGGGATAAACTAACCCCTTAAACAGGCCCTAATCCACCTTCTGGGTCAGGGTTACTTGATATGCAGGATGACCTTAACAAATTGTGTCCACCCTGGCCTGTCTATGAGTCAGATAGGACTTGGCAGAGTTGTGCAGTCCTGCAATTCCCATAGGATACTAGGTAAGTTGTGGTAATATTTGTATGTATATCATTTTATAACAACTGACAGTTTTGTTCAGGAATGAAAAAAATCTTTACCAATTTTAGGCAGAGGGATCCCAAATCAACTTGCAGTTGCGAGATGCCCAGCAAGAATTCCAGCAGAGCAGTTGCCCGATGCTGCTGAAGCACCATGGATGTATGAACAGGAGCTGCCTGACTTGCAGGAGCTGGTGTCCTCCCTGACTTGGGGATCTGCCTTTGGCTCTGACCCATTTTCACCAGAGGGAGAATGATGCCGTGCTGAGCAGCTATTTGAAGAGAGGTTTCCAGACATATCTCCTCTTTTTGGAGTTGTTAACAATGACTACAGCCTGTTTCAGGAGGCACTGTTCTACTTGATAAGTGTTACTGAAAGACGTGAGATAAATGTAATGGCTGAATGGATACTAATAAATGAGAAGCTTGATAAAAACGGCATATTTTATTGTATCAAAAATACATGTGTAACAATTATAAAACCACATTTACTCGAAGTAACTGCTCTGAAGAACTGATACTTGTTTAAAAGTATCAGATCAAAAAGTGTTACTGAAAGCTTTTTTAGCTTTTAATGTGGAAGAATGAAAAAAGTGCTTTACGCTTGAATATTAGATGCTGAATCATAAAACTAAATTTTTTTAGAATTTATAAAACAACAAAAAAAGTTAATATTGGACTGTAAGAAGAAAAAAAAATATTGGTTGTCTCTCTAACAGACAAACATTAAGGCAGCAACAACTTGTCCAGTGCAGGCAGGGCCTCAGAGAATCCAGTCAGCTCATGGATGCTGGCCTCCAAATCCACAGCATGACACTACGGGCAGCGGCTGTTGTTCCACTCAATGCGTGCCTCTCACCCGACCAGGCTGCTGCAGAAGTTTGCAAACATGGGCTCATCTATTGGACATGTAGATTGAAAGACGAATAAAGAATTTTGTAAGCAGATCATTGACAGATTGTTAATATGCAGGGATTGCCAGCACGCAGAATACTTCTGCAGATTATGTTCCACATAGAAAGTATGTTTTTGCAAGAAGTAAAACTTTTCTTTCATCACCTCACAAAAGTTGATGATGTGCTGCTACCTGAACTTTTGGATGTGCTGGTTGGGCATTTGATCACCGTCTGATCTGGAAAATATGGCCACGTTGTTGACATCTGTCAAATAGTTTCTTCATGGACTTCTGACAGATGCTTAGATTCAGGTCAGGTAACTATTTGTGTTTCGGTTCTCATTCATATCAAAACACATGAAACACATTTATATACATATATAAAGCCATAATGTAACTTCTTAAATTATGTCATTGTCATTTTATTGAAATATTGTTGATTTTAATATGTACATTTCTTTGTGCTACTTATGTATGAAACGTGCTTTATAATTAAAACTAAATTCACAATTGAACCAAAACGGAAAAAGCACAACACAATCAGAAAAGGGTCAAATAAATATAAAAATAAAGAAACTCAAAGCATGAATCAGTGCCCCCCTCCTGTAACAACCCTACATCCAGGGAAATGTTACCTCCATGACTCACTTTGCTTTGAAATGTTTTGCATTTTAACTTTGATCGATTTATATGCAATAACTTATGATGCAGTGTACTGAAGTTACTAATGCAAGTAAGCTAACCATATCGTTTTAATGTAAATAGCATAACTAAGGTCAGGGAATTAATCACGTGATTGGTTTGAATATAAAAATATACCAGAAGCGGTTCTGGGCGGGGCTTGTTGCCAGAGGCAGCTCACGGTGAGCGTTGCTAGGAGGTGCCTGCAGCGTCTCCAAGCAAACTTTACATCAAACCAGATCATATCCGGTTCATTTAACTTGCTTGAGATCAGAAAATTAAAAGGACAATGAGGGTTATTCGTTTTTTCCATTTTCGATTTTATGCACAAACTGGGAAAACAGATAGCAGCCCTTTTTCTGTTTTTTTCATTTTGTTTCGAAAACAAATAAAAAACTAGTGCATTTTTCCATTTTTAATTTTTGGTTTTAATTTGAAAAACCAAAGAACAAATGATACGCGGATAAATAATCCTGTTTACATTTTCATTTTATTCTTTAACACCGCTCATCCTTTTACTCAATTAAAATGATAAAGAAAAAGACATTTAAGATTTATTTTTCAAAATGTACCCCAGCAAATACATACCAAAATTCAATTTGAAATGTGAAATTTGAAAATGAAAAAGCATTTCCAGAAATGCTTTTTCATTTAAAGAATGTGGCTGCATTGCTTGACTCATAAATGAAATTACTAATCAATCATCCTATTTGCATTTTCTTCTTTTAGACTGCACATTTTATGCCATAATCAAGGAGAAAACACAGCGGACATTGCTTTTTCGTTTTCATGGTCAGCCAGCAAAGTACTGTCCATAACTCGAAAATGAAAAAGCATTCTGAGCGGTGGGCGCAGCAGAGTGACGTCAGCAGCTGCTCTTCCTCAGGTCCTTGCTGACCGGGCTACCCATCTTGTTGGGTAGGGGGCGCTGATTATAGCAGGCCACCTGCTATAATCTGTTTCCCCCTTGTGACTTTAAGAAACAAACATCTATCACCTCCACGCCTGATGTTAGAACATAGATTGTTTAAGGATACTACAACATAGAGAAATTGTAAGTTAATATAAAACTGGATTTAGTCTTTAATCATTACACATACACGGCATTTTCTATTTCATTTTTATTACAAGTATGTGGTTTAACAACAGTTTTCAATGGGATGAGAATATTTGGACACTGAAACAATGAGAGATTTTTCAAATAACGTGTGAAAAAGAACAAGGAGCTGTTTGCTTTCAGAGGGAGGAGTAGACACTGCTGTAAGCGACCTGCTTTCACGCAAACGTTTGTCTTTTATTATTATTTTTAAATCCGTATCACTGGGGATATTCTGCTATAACATGTGAAGTAAAGAATAAAAAACTAAACCTCATCTTTCATACACGTAAAACCTTTCACATTTCACGTTCAGTACGTTGGAATTGAGGCGGAGTTAACTCAGTTTGTTCTTCCTACTCCGTGCGCGCTCCCGACGAGGGGATACTAATTTTCGCAGGGATAACTACCTTGGCACGACACCTGCTATAATCAGCGCCCCCTACCGAACGTAGATGGGTAGCCCGGTCAGCAAGGACCTGAGGAAGAGCGGCTGCTGACGCCACTCTGCTGTGCAGCGGGCTCAGAATGCTTTTTTTTTTCTTCGAGTTATGGACAGTACTTTGCTGGCAGACCATGAAAACGAAAAAGCAATGTCCGCTGTGTTTCTCCTTGATTATGGCAGTCTTAAAGAAGAAAATGCAAATAGGTTGATTGGTTACTAATTTCATTTATGAGTCAAACAATGCAGCCACATTCTTAAAATGAAAAAGCTTTTTCATTTGAAATATGGTAACAATTTGCTTCCATACTTCAGAGATGAGCAGGAAACCTTTAAAAACTGATGTTTACAAAAGTTCTCTATTTAATCTGACTGTTTACAAAGAATAACAGAAATAAAGATGTCGAAAGGTGGTGGAGATGAACAACAAAGAACTTGCAGCTCTAATTGTGGTAAAGTTTCTCCGCCAAGTAACTGCTGTGAATAGGAAGCGAAATTTTAGAAAGAAAAAACAACTTTCCTTTCATTTCCTTCATGCACTACATTTTGACAGTATGTCTTAAAATGCTATTAAACATCAAAGTTAATGAGGATTACATATTAAATGTTGCAGAGTAGTAGTTTTTGTGCTGCAAGTATTTTATAAATAGCTCAGAAAGCTGCAGAGAGAAGACAGCCACATTTCTTCATTCATTGCTGCACTTTTTAACCTTGTTTAAATAGGAAACACAAGCTTAGCAGCTTTTCAGATCTTATCGCTGGACATGATGACAGTCACCTCCAATCACATCCGTCCACACTGCAGGTCCGAATCTGTAACCAGGCAGAAAAAAAACATTCCCCCAGTCTAAAAATACCACCCCCACCTCTAATTTCCTCCAGCTGCAGCTCGACGGGCCCCGTTCCCGGACAGACCCCACCAGAGCTGGGTGGGGTGGGGGGGTCTCCTGAGGGAGGTGGGGAAAACAAAACATGAGCTCTGGAATCAGCGGCGAGTGTTTGACAGTCATGGAAAATGAGCCACTGCGTTAAAACTGGTGATTAAATTTAGGACCCTGGGGGCCACAGGGGTCTGGACGGGGCCAGACACCTTGGAGTCAGTAGTGTTAGTCATAACACACACACACTGCGGCTGCGCTCGGTGACTCAGCAGGATGGCCGTCTAAAGGCATCTATAAGGTCCTCGCTGTCCATGCCTGATGCCACCCCCCGCCCTACATGGCCAGCTGCAGTCCCCCGTCGACCACCAGCACCTGTCCTGTGACGTAGGAAGCCTCCAACAGGAAGAGGGCGGCCTGGGCTATCTCCTCCGGCGTGCCAAATCTCCCCAGAGGGATGGAGCGCGCTCCGGCCTCCTCCCTCAGGCCCGCCGTCATGTCGGTGTGGATGAAACCTAAAGAGCATGGAGGAATGGGATGACAGAGAACAGGAAAAGGGTAAAACATGCATAAAGAGTGTTTCTGTGATGTACCTGGAGCCAGCAGGTTAACCCTGATGTTGCGGGAAGCGACTTCTTTGGCGAGCGAGCGAGTGAAGCCTTCTAAACCAGCTTTACTGGCGCTGTACGCGCACTGGCCAGCGTTCCCTTTCAGGCCCACTACAGAGCCTACAGAACCAGAGACATCACAACAACAGTGATCCTTCCTTTCCAAAACACATTTTAGAGGTTTTATCTAATCTTACTCTCTTTATATCTGTAAACTATAATTATAATCATTATGATATTAATGATCAACAACCTGCCTTTCTATAAACTATTGTTTTAAGGTGATTTAAAGGGTAAACAATCGGACTTTGCTGCCATCTGGTGTCTAAACTGCTAACAGCAGACGGTACCTATATTAACAATGGCTGCTCCCTGGGTGCGCAGCATGCTGCGCAAAGCAGCCCTGCAGGTCAGCATGGAGCCCAGCAGGTTGGTGTGAAGCACAGCCACCATGTCTTCAGGCCTCATCCTCAGCAGCAGAGCGTCCCTGAAGACAGAAAGAGACACAATATTGGCCACTTGTTTTCCTAACAGGGCAGAACTTGAAGTTTTCCTAAAACATTTAGGGTGGAGTGAGGAGGAATTTGTTCAGTGCTCTCATCTCACAAGTTTTCTAAAGGTTTTAGATCTGAGGGCTGACCCACGGTGCCATGATGGCTAAAGGCCATAACACACCAAATCTGATTTA